TTTTCCAGGAACTGATGGGTATTAAATGACATATCTTGAGAGAAGGGAAAATACCTGTGGAAATGTGTCTTCTTGTTTGTTGACTCAACAGGAACTTCAGGTTCTGATCCTGCTCCATGTTAGTGTTTTTAATAAATGAGTAAGATCCAACTATAAAAAAGTTATTTTTTATGTGGTACTAAGGCTTGAACCCAGGGCCTCACGTGTGCTAGGCAAGTGCTCTACCACTGAGCCACAACCCCAGGGAGTATTCAGAACTTTTGTGGTTTTTTTTTTTCTGGTGTGTGTGTGTGTGTGTGTGTGTGTGTGTGTGTGTGTGTTGGTACTGGGGATTGAACCCAGGGGTGCTGGACCACTGAGCCACATCCCCAGCCCTTTTTATTTTTTTTATTTTGAGGCAGGGTCTCGCTGAGTTGCTGAGGCTGCCTTTGAACTTGCCAATCTCCTGCCTCAGCCTCCCAATTGCTGAGATTGCAGGCGTGCTCACCTGTGGCTTGGTTTTGTTCTTTTCCATCTAGATCATCAGAGAGCCTGAGCAACAGTTTGGTTTACGTGTTACGTGTATCAAATGAAGAAAAAGATGCATGCTTAGAAAATGCCGTGGTAGGGGCTGGGGTTGTGGCTCTGCGGTAGAGCACTTGCCTAGCATGTGCGAGGCACTGGGTTCGATCCTCAGTACCACATAAAAATAACATAAAGGTATTGTGTCCAACTACAACTAATGCCTTTTTAGTTCCTGTATTTCTAAACCAAAACATTTAAGAAGAAATGTGCAATCCTCTGCCTGACCTACAAAGAAGTTGCCAGTGTGTTCCTGTTCTTTTTCCTTGATCTTTCTTTCGATTAGCATGCGTGTGACTGTTTTGTGAGGCACCCTGATGACTCTCAAAGGAGGCACCCGTGGGATCTCCTTTTCCCTTTTTATACTTGGGGATAATGAACCGCATCTTTACTCACAAAAGGACATTTCTACTTGAGGAATACCCATTCAGGTCCTTGAGTTTCTCTGTTGGGAACTAAATCATGGAACTCCATACTGGAAATACTAAGGGTGGGGGTTTCGAAGTATATTCAACTTTTCCTTCTGAATTTAAGTTGAATGTAGTCATAGAATTGGTGCTTAAAGGCTTTGCTTCCCCTGATTAGTGTTTTTTCCCCTTCTTGATAGTCTTTACATTGGTACCATTGCAATAGGGTAGCCACCAGCCACGTGTGACTGTTTCAACTTAGTTAAATTTACATACAATTAAACCGGTGCTCATCACCAGTACTGGCTATGTGACTAGTGTTCAGTAGCTGCATGTGGCTAGTGGAGTCCTCAGTAGATGGGGAACATGGGGCACAATAAGTTTAACTGCACAGAGCAGCTGTGGACAGTCAGACATGAGCCTAATAGGAACTTCAGGGAAGAGCAAAACAAATCCTTAAATCTGAAGGAGAGAGAAGTTTTCATACCAAGTAACTTGAGCAAAAATGAACCCTGTCAGTTGGGTGTGGTGGTGCACACCTGTAATCCCATTTACCTGGGAGACTGAGGCAGGAGGATTGCAGTCCAGCCTGAGCAATTAAGTAAAGCCCTATCTTGAAATAAAAAAAAATAAATGAAAAGGGCTGCAGCTGTGGGTCAGTGGCAGAGCGCTTGCCTAGCATGTGTGAGGCACTGGGTTTGATTCTCAGCACCACATATGAATAAAGGTCCAGTGACAACTTAAAAAAAATTTTAAAACAAGTTTTAAACTCATCAAAATGTTACATCAAAGCTAAGCATAACATTAAAATAGTAGGGATAAAGGTGGTATTGAAACACTTTTCTAGGATTTTAAAGTTATATACGTGACATCAGATTTTTTAACAGCAAGAGTGGAAGTTAGAAAACAGATGTACTGTAGAATTGTTTGAAAATAATTTGCACCCAGAATTTTGAAGTTTCTCCCCTGCAAATTTATGGAGGATGGACTAAAGATGTTTGTACGCATTCATACGTCAGCCACATTTCACTTAGACATCTCACTTCTAGAAGTGGACAACCTGTCCCACCAAGGTGAGACAGTAACCAAGGAAGGGGACATCGTGGGACTCTGAATGTCCAGATAGACAACAAAGAGAAGGAGTTCTCGAGGCATTGATGGTTTCAGGTTGCAGCAGGCCTAACACTGACTAGCACAGACTGGACCCAAGAAATTGGAAGAGGACGTTCTGGTACGTGTGTTCTGAAGGTGGCAGCACATGGAACTGACAGACGATCTAAATGTTCTTGTTTATAATTTTTTTAAGTTGGAGATGGACACACTGCCTTTATTTTTATGTGGTGCTGAGGATTGAACCCAGTGCCTCAGATGGGCCAGGCAGGTCCTCTACCACTGAGCCACAACCCCAGCGAAATATCTGAGCATTTTAATCGTGTGGAAAATTGAATGGAAAGAATGTTGCAAGATCTTGGAAGAATTTTGTCAAAGGGAACAAAGAAAACAAAAACAAGGGCAACTAGGGACTCCAAGAAAATGCAAAAGTTGAATAAGCAATGAATCTTACCATTATCGAAATAATATGTGCAGAGTGTAGACTTAACAGAAAACAAGTTATAAAAAGTGATGGGGAAAACGTGAAAGGTAAGCACAGCATTGGTGGTTGGCATTTAAGGAAACAAATCTGCATTTGAAAATCAGAAAGTTGCATTGAAAATTGGTTTAGTGAAGTATTATAAGCAGATGATTTAGAAACATGGAAGTCAATACCAAGGAACACGAACATTAACAATAGTTCCAAGGCATGAAAGTGGTTGCTTTTGGAAATGGAATTGTAGATCAGTGGTGCAAAAAGGCTCGCAATTTTGAAAAAGGAGTCTTTTGACTCACTTGGCTTTTAGTTTTAAAAGCTAAAGATGGGTTACTTTGAAAAGAATAAAAATGGTTAGGGTATCACCCTCTCTAAAAAATTAGAGTTGAACGTAAAGTGGGAATTCTCAACTGGGGCAGTATTGACAGTTGACTCAATTCTTTGTTAAGGAGACCCACCCTGTGTGTGCAAGGGTGTTCCGTAGCATTCCTCTCTAGTCCTGACAGCTAAACAGGTGTGCAGACATTGCCCAGTGCTCCCGGGGGTGGGGGGCAACCTCATGGCTTCTTGAACTACTGATTTAAAGGATTTAAAAACCTGTTATTGAGGGCTGGGGGTGTGGCTCTAGCGGTAGCGCGCTCGCCTGGCATGCATGCGGGCCCGGGTTCGATCCTCAGCACCACATACAAACAAAGATGTTGTGTCCGTGACAAAGAAATAAATAAATTAAAAAAAAAAAAACCTGTTATTGAATAAACCATCTCGATACATTTAAAAAAAAACTGTCTTTTGTTGGTAATACAGGAAGCAGCTGCTTCATTACACAGAACTTGAACCCATAGCAAGAACCCTCTGGCACCCCAGCTGCTCACGCCAGCCCATCTTGGCATCTGGCTTCAGGCCCAGTTAGTGCAGGGCTCACCCAAATGAGAAAAGGAATCGGGAGGAAATGGCAGCTTCCCTTTCATGCTTCGTGGCTTCTGAAAACATGTTTCAGATTTTTCACATTGTTTTCGTGTTGGTACAACTTGGATTTCTCTGGAGTTGCAGTGGTAATCATGGTGGCAAGCCTGGCGCAACGTTGCGCCCTTGGGGTATATTCCAGCGCTCAGTCGGCTGTGAGACGGACGCTCGCCCTCCCCGTCTCTGCAGTTCTTCCCCGAGTCCTTAGATAAGTTCTCTGCGAGTGTTTCCCCCTAGAATTGCCAGAGGAAGTCGATAGGAAAATGGTCCCGCAGATTTTTTGATGTGGCAGAAACCTCATAAATATTCTAATGCCCTTATTTCACAGCTGAGGAAACTCGAGTCCGGAGAGTTTCTTATCATTAATCATGAGGAAGATGGGGGTGGGATTCCCCAGCACCACAAAAGGAAGAGGGGTGTCTGCAGCGAGTGCCTTCTTCCCCTTTTTCCTTCTTTCAGAATGCAGAGGGAGGCATGGTCAAGGGTGGTTTCGTGGGCAGTGAAGTGCTCGGGCGAGTGGGCTGTCGGGATTTGCACACAGCATCGTGGGTGCCCACATCCCTGGAGTCGCTCAGAGCAAACACCTGGAGAGCAGGAAGGGCAGTCGGGTGTTTCCATGAGGGGCCCCTGTGCCGCGGTTCCTGATGGCCCAGAGCTGGGAAGATGCCGGAGAAAGTCCTACGGAAAGGGCTCCCCACTGTTTGTCACCAGTCCTCATGCCAAGTTCCTTCTTGGCACAGGACTTGTGCATGGCACCTGCAACCTTGCCCCCTGTTCAAGGGCTCCCTTCTCAGAGGCAAAGTCCCTGTGCTCCTGCTCAGGGTCTGTTCCTTGTCCCAGATTGGTGTTCCTTGCTTCTCATCTGAAATTGCCTTGTGCGTTTGTTCATAGCTAATTGTCCCTGTGCCTTTCTCGCCAAGTTCCGCAGCCTTGCCCTCTGCCCCAGGGCTCAACGTGGAGTTCCTGTCGGTGAAAGATTTGACTTGCCTTCTGAAATACCTGTGCGTTCACTTAGCGAGCCTCAGCATCGCAGAGAAGACAGTGACGTTGAGTTGTCGGAGTCGAGTGGGGTTTGGGGTCCTGAAATTCCCTGGCGATGTGCTGAGCATCGTGACGCTTTTTGAGCAGTTTGTGTGAACAGCCTCACAGCATTAAATCCACCAGTGAGGGTGGCCCACCACCTAATGCAGTTATTAATACAGCCAGAGTACTGCAGTTGTGTCAACTACGTCAGGGTGAACGCGTCCCTAGCCGTTTTATTGAAGCATCACAGAATGCACTTGCACAAACTAAGATGATCACATCATCCCAGGGGATGGAATCTCACAGGACCCCCCCCATCTTATGTGGGGTCTACCCTTGACGGGGGGGACACTGTACGTGCTCACTCAGACGTCTGCTTGGTTAAGGAGCGGGTGAAACTGTCTCAGGATGTGTTTGCTTATGTTTTGAACTTAACTTGGAGTCTTATTCATTAACAGGTAATACAAGATAGAAGAGAGGTCTCGACATAAGCCCTGGAAAGAAGAAAGGATTGGCCTGCATTTACTTCTGAGTAAGTGGAATTGTGAAGGAGATTTTATTATGAAATGAACAACCTGTCAACCTCTCTGTATTTTCTATGCTTAAAGCCACGCGGTCATGTTTGTTTTTCTGTGCTGGAAATGGAAATTTGAGATTCTTTGCAATAGGTGATTTTGCTGGGGGAAAAATGTGAAGCTCTCTGTCAGCACTTCAAACTCCTTTTTTTTTTCTTCTTGCAGTGCTGGGGATGGAACTCGGGCACACGCCTTACTGCTGGCCTGCACGCATCCCCAGCCCTACTAACTCTATTTAAAACATTTAGCTTCTGGAATTCAGGTTTCCATGAAGTTTAGAAAAGAAAAATGGAGACGGTCATCAAAATGTGTGTGCCTTGGAGTGACGCATAGCTTCTGATCTTTCCCCCCGTTTACGTGTGAGGTATTTATCTTTGCTCTGGAGTTTGGTTTATATAAACAAATCGAGAAAGTGTTTGGCTTTTATGTGGTGGAAGCTGCTCTGTCTTACGTGTCCTTCTCAATGTGTTTGGAAATGACAGGCAGCTGTGACACTGGGTGGACAGGCCAGATTTTTCCATGGAAGCCTTGCTCAGCCCTTCCTGAGCTGGTGTGGACCGGGCGTGGACCCCCAGGAGGCCTGTTCCTTCAGTCTTGGGTCTGCTGGTTTTCAGTGTGGACAGACCCTGACTCCTGTAGAATGAGGCCTTCTGAGCTGTCCTTACCTGCTCTGGGTTCATCATGGGAACCATCGACACCACCTTTTGCAGACACTTCGACAGCCCTTCTGTTGCAGATGACAGTCCTCTGAGCCTGTTACTTCTGTGCTGTTGTGGAGAACACGGGGATGTAAGAGGTGTTTGGTGTTTTTTTCAGTAAAACCTCCTGGATTCTTTTAGTGTGGGAGCTGCCATGTTTGGTCTACCTGGGCACACCTAAGGGACACACTGCCCTTGGTTGTCTCCTTGAAAGAGCACCAAAGCTTATCCTCAGAGCCTCCTCTGGTGAAGAGAGAGGAGAAAATCGTGACCAAAATCCACATACCTACAGTCCCCAGCTTGAAGGTGGCAAGGCCTACGACCTTTGGCTTCACGACCTTTGGCTTTACGGCTGGACTCCTTCAGGAATGAGCATACCTCAGATGTTGAACTTAGGACTTTTCCCACCCCTCAGCACGAGCGGTGGGCTGCCCCCAGGGAGCCCTCCATCCCAGGGCCAGCAGCCAGCTGTGCTGCTGAGCTGTGAGGTCTGATAAAGCAGGTGCCCTTGGTGTGTGTCCCGCTTAGGGCTATATGCGGTGTGCCAGGAGGTTCATTGAGGTGCCACCCATCATGAGCACAGGGGGCACTTGCAGAACTCTGTGCTAGACATGGTTCTGTCTTGATAGCAGCTTTATTGAGATGCAATTCACACAGCAGACGATTCACCCCTTTGAATGTTCGGTGCTGTTGGTTTTTTACATTCAGTACTGGGACCAGAACCCAGGGTCCTGTGAGACTGTCCACTGAGCTGCATCCCCAGCCCCTGTTCAGTGTTTTTAGACATTGGGTTCTGCAGCTGTCACCTTCCTCAACTTTGGAGCATTTCACCATTCCCAGAAGAACCTTGTAGCCATTAGCAGTCACTCCCCATTCCTGCCGTGTAGCTGCCACTAATCCGCTTTCTCTCCATGTGCGGTGGCCTCTCCTGGGTACTTTAAATAATGGAAGCCTGTGCCGAGTGGCCTTCTGTGTCTGCTGTCTTCCACTTAGCATGTGGGTGTCGTATGTCAGTACTTTGTCCCTTTGAACAGCCAAACGCTGAGCCGTGATATGCATAGATCACATTTTGTTTACTCATTCATCCATCAGACACTGTTATTTTTAGAGCCTTCTATTATTTCTCCTCTCCGTGGTGCGGGGGATTGAACCTGGCCTTGTGCATGCTAGGCAAGCCTTCTACCACTGAGCTCCACTTTTTTGGGGGGGATGAGGGGATCCTAGGGATTGAACCCAGTGACGATGAACTATATCCCTAGCCCTTTTTATTTTTTGAGACGGGGCCTTACTAACTTGCTTAGGGCTCGCTAAATTGCTGTGGCTGGCCTTGAACTTGCTATCTTCCTACCTCAGTCTCCCTTACGTTTTACCTTTATTAAATTGCATCTTGAGACTGGGTCTGGCTATGTTGCCCAAGCTGGCCTTGAAGTTGGGGTCCTCTTGCCTCAGCCTGGTGACTAGCTGGGATTGCAGGGGTGAGCCACCCACCTGGCTTGAAGGCTTCTGTTCTGAAACCATGACAGACTCGCAAGTAGCTGCAGAGCACAGAGAGTTCCAGTGTCCTGCTGACTCCCCGCAGTGACTGCGTCTCTCAACAGAACTGTGCCGAGTTGACCCAAGTAGGAAATGGGCATTGGCAAGGTGCTTTTGGTGTGAATGCATGCCCTGTCTGGTGACGGGAGCTCTGCCTGTGTGGTTGTGTGAAATGTGGTCCCAGGTGTGTGCAGAGTGTTGCTGCTACCATAGGTCAGGGGCAGGATTCGTCCACCTTGGGCTCTGCCTCTCCGTCGTTTCTTCATTTCATGTGTTACCTGAATGGAATCCTGCAGCATACAGCTTTTGCAGACTGACTGACTGCAGCCTGATGCCCTGGAGATCCATCCCTACTTTTCCTGTCCTTCCAGAGCTCATTCTTCCCTAACGCAGAGTGGGATTCTGGGGTGTGGATGTGCCACAGTCCACTGATCCCTTGGCTTGCTGAAGGGTGTTTCCTGCTCCGGGCTGTTCCAGGTCATCCCTTGGGCCTGCTTTCCCCTTGGATGGAGAGAAAGCAGTCACGTTAAGGAGGCAGCTTAGAGACGCTGCGCCCTGGGACACTAGCAAGCCTTGAGGTCCATGCCATACGGTAGGAGTCAAGCCCAGGGATCTATCGGGTAGCTGTCACTTTCTTTGCTGTGACAGCCAGCTGGCTGCCCTCACCAGGGGCCAGCTGTCCATGCCTGCTGTGTCCAGGAAGTGCCAGCAGAGGACCCAGCGTTTCCATTTGGGGTTTAGCTCCTTGGGAAGCACTGGAAACTTGAGGTCCACATATATCGGCGTCACCAATGCTATAAATGGTAGGACGGAGGATGGAGATTGCCGGTGGACTTGGAGTGCACCCTCAGAAACCAGAGCGACTTGGAGCCCAACAGCTGTTGTTTCACATATGCTTAGTTCAGCTGTGCCTTCTGGAACTTCTGGGAAGTTGGCAAAATGTCCGAGTCCCTTCTGTGCAAGGGTGTGGTGGAGCCCCACTTCCAAGTGGGTCCAGCCCACTGAAGTGTGGGCGTCCAGTTGGGGTGGGGTGCGTGCGTGCTCCGTTTCCCCCTCAGCTCTCTTCCCACTCCCTGTTCCCCGTGACCCGCCTGGATGCGATGGGAGGAGCTCACTGGAGTCTCTAAAGAGCCCCAGATCGAAGATGCATTGCTTTGCAGCCGTGTTTGTGTGGCCTGGTGTATGTGTGTGGCTGTGATAAATACTTGAGAATAACCGGTGGAGATGCAAGATGATTTATCTTGGCTCACCATTTGAAAAGTTTACTCCATGGTCAGCTGGCTTCATTGCTTTAGACCTGAGGTGAGCAGAACATCATGGCGGAAGGAAGTGACAGAGAAGGCTGCTCGGCTCATGTCAGTGAGTAGGAGGGAGGGACAAGATAGAGTCCTCAAGGGTACATCCCCAGTACCCACTTCTTTTAACTAGGACCCACCTCCTACACTTCCACCATGTCCCAGTGATGTGACGCCATCCAATTATGAATTCCTCAGTGGATTAATCCACTTAGGATCTAAGAACTTCCCAAAGGCTCCAGCTCTAAACGTGGCTGAATTGGGGACCCAGGCTTCCATGCATGAGCCTCTGTGGGACATTCCACATGCAAACTGCAACCCTGTGATTAGTAACAGAAATGGGTGGGCACTTCTCAAACCAGTTCCTTTTTCATAAAAATCTAAGAAGGGCACAGATGACCCCTTGTCTTTGCGAGGGGCCTTAACTGTGGAGAAGTGTTTCCCTGGAGCCCCAGAGGCTCCCTCTAAAATGAACTGGAAGTCATGGAGAGGACAGAAGTCTCTGTGCATGCCCGTAGTCGCCCACCCTGGGCATGGGGGGGGGGGGGTTGCATACCAGATTGGTGAAGGGGTTGCTTAGGAAGTGCAAGGGCCTCTGTGCCTTGTAGGTGGATGGGGGTTGTTGCTGATCCATCTTATGGAAGCCTATAAGGTTTCCCAGGCACCCTCTGGGCCCCAGCTTGTTGATTCAGAGGTGTGAATTTACACGATAAGCCAATGGAACAATGAATGGCCCTTTGTGCTCCCCAGCTGATAAAGTGCTGTTTGACAAAACCCTTCCTTTGTTTTTTCCTCCTCCCAACCTGTGGTTCAGATTGACTTTTCCTTCAAACAACATTAGTCTTCCTGGGTTGCAGGTGGGTTGCCTGACCTGGAGACCCTCGTTCTCCACACAAGCCTCCGCCTCCCTTTCAAACTTGGGAATGCAACGTGTACCCACTTCCCAGTGAACTTCTTCGTGCTTAAATTTGCATCAAACGGACATAAATAATCGTATCTAGTCAGGATGGAATCCTTGAAAAGGACTCTAAGATTCTGATTGTAAACTGGCCTTGAAGGGCCCGAAAATGACAGACTCTTCCGTGCCTGACCTTTTCCACTAGTTCTGGCTCTTAGCCCAAATCTAAGAATCTTGTTTTTCTTTGTGTTTCCTTTCATTTTTCTCTCTAAACATGAGCAGTTCCCACTAGCCCTTTTTTGGTAAGGGGGTGTACTGGGAATTGAACCCAGAGGCACTTTACCACAGAGCTACAGCCCCAGCCTTATTTATTTTTTATTTTTATTTTTTAGTTATTTTTCTTAATGTTTTATTTTTTTATGTGATGCTGGGGATTGAACCCAGTGCCTCGCAAATGCTAGGCGAGCACTCTACCATTGTGCCTCAGCCCCATTTATTTTTATTTTTTGAGACGGGGTCTCATGAAGTTGCTT